GAGACGCTCCTTTATATGATTAAAGCAATCCCCTTGGTTTTGACCCACAAAGGTAGGAAGCCTAAGGTACTTCTCATGTCTGTACACCCATTCCACCCCAAGCAGGTCAGCCAGCGATATCTGATTTCCCCTTCTAATGTTTATACTAAAGCTCACTGCACTATTCAATAAATTCACTTGTTGACCCTATGCGTCTTCATAAGAGTTAAGAATCGATTTCACCAGCAGGCAATCTTCCCGACGAGCTCGCTCGAACACAAAGCAATCATCGGCAAAGAGAAGGTGATGGATTGACGGGGCATTCTGGCAGTTCGAAATTCCTTGGATAGCACCCGAGCATTCATACTTCGCAATCATAGCAGAGAGACCCTCGGCACACAATAAGAAGATGTAGGGTGAAATAGGGTCACCTTGTCTCAGACCACGGGATGTTAGCACGTAACCCCTTGAGAACCGTTGACAATAAACGAGTATGACACTGAGAAGATGCACATCATGATCAAATTCACCCACTTTGTATTAAATCCCAGCTTCAGCATAACACATTCCAAGTAGCTAGCTCCACTCGATTTTTTCGTAGGCTTTACACATATCTAGTTTCAGAGCGAAGAAACCATTCTTCCCCATTGGCCTTTTATATAGGAAGTTTGCAATTTTCGAAGCCATTATTGTATTATCTGAAATGGCTCTACCTGGTACAAAGGCACTTTGGAAAGGTGAAATAATTTTGGGCAGCAAGACCTTCAACCTGTTAGCAAGTACTTTTGAGATAATTTTATACACCACATTACAGAGACTTATAGGGCATAGTGTCATCCCGAGGGATGACTTCAGAATTAGAGCCACATTCGTAAAGTTGATTTTCCTCAACATTTGTCCAGATGAGAGGATCGATATTACTGCATTAGACATATCAGTCCCAACAATAGGCCAATATTTTTTTAAAAAGAGAGGAGGCATACCATCGGGCCCAAGAGATTTACTAGGATGCATTTGGAATAGAGCATTCTTAACTTCCTCAGCTGTGAATGAAAGAATGAGCGAACGATTCATTTCCTCAGTGACCTTACCCTTAATAGCATCAATTACTTCTGAGTTCCCGAAAACAGGGTTGGATTGGGAGCTAGACATAGATTTGAAGTAGTCAATGATCACTTTCTCAATACCACCGTCACTATTCTGCCATGTCCAATTCTGATCCAACAGCCCGACAATTGTCTTCTTATGTTGCCGAATATTCACCCTTTGGTGGAAACAATGGGTGTTGCAGTCCCCCGATTTTATCCACAAGACTTTTGATCTTTGTTTCCAATAAGTTTCCTTGGCAATAAAAGAAGGATGGCTGTTAACTTTTGGAAAGCAGAGGTATTGAAACAATGAACAACAACTGAAGAAAAACAGAGAATTTGGATGGACGAGGGAGCTGAAGAGTGAGCAAATCTAGCTCAGAGAATATGACATTGAGTAGTCCTTCATTCCATTTTCACGCAAAGCATATGACCGCATGCCAGTACAAAAAATAACCATTACAATTCAAAACAATATTCTGTTCTCATAGCCTAGGAGCTAGAGAAACAAGGCTCCTCTAAGGCTTATAAGTCATTCTAACTCACTCTCCAATACAACAAGGACACTTGTACTTCAAAAAATTAGAGTACAAAAATCTCAAATGATATAGGGAACGGTTCCTCTCAATTTATATTTCAATACTCCCTTTTAAATTGTGCACTGATTTCACCCCCAAGAACTTTCCCCAGACAATAGAATTGGTCTTTGGGCAAGGGTTTTGTAAAGATGTCTGCTAGCTGCTCATTTGTTGGACAGTAAACCAGATCAATTACACCTTTCTACAATGATTCCTTGATGAATTAATGATACCTCATGTTAATGTGCTTAGTTTTTGGTGAAATATAGGATTTTTGGTGATGGCAATTGCTGATGTGTTGTCTTAATTCAATGGAGTTTCCACATTTTGAAAGTCACCAAAATCCTCCAGAACAAACCTAAGCCAAGTGGCCTATAAAGTTGCTTATGATGCACTGATGTACTCTACCCCTACAATTGATAAAGCTACACAATGTTGATTGACAGAAGCCCAAGAAAACACTCTACTTCCAAATGTGAAAGCATAACCTAAAGTGCTTTTCATGTTATCTTCAGACCCACTCCAATTATTGTCACAAAACCCAACTAACAAGGCCTTTTTTCTTTCACATACTCCAGACCAAAGTCCAAGGTGCCTTGGATATACCGTAAAACTCTCTTGGCAGTTCCGAATGCTTGTTAGAGGGACAATGTATAAATCTAGCCAACAAACTTGCTGCATACATAATGTTTGGTCTTGCTGCAGTATGATACAGTAGACTGCCAACAATTTTTCTGTACTCAGCTTCATCTGCAACACCACTTCCATCTTCCTTTTTCAACTTTTCACTAGGAACAAGTGGTATGCTTACTGATTTGCAATCTTCTAGTGAATGAAGATGCTTGTCTCAATTTGCATAACTCCCATGCCAAGAAAATGTGCAATCGCGATTATTTCAAAACTCTGAGAAAGCATACTATGAGATTTTATATGCAAAATGGAGTTCGTACGCTGGTGGGAGAAGAGACATTGCAAAAAAATGGCCTAGGGGACGTATATATAGATCCAAATCGAAATAGTGTTCTCTTACTGGTGGCGATGAAGTGCATGAAATTCCATGTCCACTTCCCTCAACCAACACTACATATTAAGCAGATGCAGATGGAAAGGAACACATCAAGTTTGAAGTATACATCAAGCAAAACTTTCAAGGTTTTCTATTCTATCTTCTCACAAAACACAGAGAGGAAATGGCTTCTACACTCATTCGAACGGCTTCCACTCTAGGCCACACCTGGCCAATTGTTCAAGAAATTGACGAGCATTTGTGTAGATTGAGGTCTTCCGAGGCCCACCTCCACATCACCATCACCATCAATAAACCTAAAGCTTAGTGGCCTCCATGATCTGCATGACTCTGTCGAGAAGTTGCTTCAGTTGCTGCTCACACAAGAAGCCCTGGCACAAGAGCAGAACAAAAAATGGATTAATGAGCTATTTAGATGGCTCTCTCAGGCTGTTGGATGTGCAACACTACCAAGGATGTCGTCTTGCAAACTAAGGAATGTGCACTGGGTCCTTAATTAATGATACGAAGAATGCGAGGTGAATCTGGAGCTCTCACAAGTGAAGTGAACAAATACTTAAGCTCCAGGAAGATGGTGAAAAAGGCATTACAAAAGACTGAAGAATCCAAAAGGAATAAAAAACCCGTCCACCTACTCTTCCCTCACTGCCACAATGCTTGAATCAATACTATCCATCTCCGGGCCAAAGTCAAAGCCAAGCAACTGGTTATCGGTCTATAAGAGGATGCAATCTAAAAAAGTAGCTTGTGACGAAGAAACACAAGTAAATGAATTTGCAGAAGTGGATGCTGCATTCAGGACAAGTAAATCTCATTCCCAATACCAGCTTGAAAATCTGGAGTCATGCATTCAGGACCAAGAAGAAGGACTTGAGAGCCTATTCAGTCAATTGATCAAAACAAGACTTTCACTCCTCAACATCCTAAACCGCTAGGATTAGGTCTTATATTTTCTACATGAAACATAATACATCCTTTGCTATTAATTTCATAGAGTCCGTTGAATAAACATATGCTTTCTCCCTATTTTAAGAATTTATTTCAGGACCGTAATCTTTGATGAGCATTTTATGAGACATTCAGGAATGAACTATTTACCCACAAATGAATTTTCTGTTTTAAAAATAAACGAGTAGTTTTCTCTGCTTTTCTATGAGTAAACTAGAATATGGGATTTCAAGTTATCTACATTGAATAGTTCTGCCAATTTTTATGTTATGCATTTGAATAATTGCTAATAACTCAAGAATAAGGATGTTTTAAAATTTCAATTTTTATTCCTCCAAGTCTTGTAGCACGTCCACTATGATGGTGAAAAAACTGAACCCTGTGATTGGACGAGGGAAAATAAAGTTCCATGGAATTCAAAGTTTAAGGTTTAGCGATCTGCTATATAAAAATTAGACAGACAGACTTGAAAATGACCAGATGCAATATATTTGCAAAAACCTTTAAATGACACATTTTATGGTATCATTTTGAAAGTCTTGTGTTATTACCTCTGTAGTGCACTTCTAGTTTTTTTAGTAGTATTTTCTTAGTTTTAAGTAGTTCGCTAGTGGTTTTCTTATTGTGTCTTTTAAACCATGGAGTCTAAATATGATTTCCGAGTATATTTTACTAGTCCTTGTAAACTTAGTAAACATTCACGGTTGGCTTCATCTTTGCCTTGTTTGGAGAAACCTAGTTCTACAATGGAAGTGAGCTCAAAGATTGCAAACATGTCATTCCATCTCATTATTGATATATCACATGAAATAGAAGAGAAAAAGGGTATATAGACACAAATGGGAAACACGCTAAATAGTAGGTATTGACTTTCTTGTGTGAGAAAATTAAGGTGTCGACCTAAATATGCCTAAATATACACTAATGCGGATTACTTGGTGATTTTATATGGGTTGAGAAATCGCTGATGGGGAGAAATTGCATTGAAGTCGCCTATTCCGACGCTTACCATTTTGCTACATTATGGAAACAAAATGCAAGGTCACAAATTATGTTGTCTGCTCGGACGCAACAATGATGCGAGGGACCTGCAAAGTAAGGTGAACTGACTAATCACATAGATGATTAATTTGTATTAGGTACGGGATTAAGCATATAAAGAAGGGTGGGTGTGGATGGTTTTTGCCTTTCCATGCATGTTTTTAAAAGTCAATGACTGAATGCTTACACTACAATATTGATACTCTATGATTATACATGCCATATAAATCACTTCATGAGTTGGGATGCTGCAGTGGGAGGGGACATTGCATGGACAGTTCCTAGGGAAACATATAGATCCAATCGAAATCATGTTACCTGGCTGTTGATTGAAGTGGATGGGATTCCATGTCTCCATCCTCAACCAATACCATATATTACGCATATGCATATGGAAAGGAACTCATCAATCACAATTGTAAATTAACTACAAGGTCTTCTCTTCTATCCTTTCTCAAATCACAAAGACGAAATGGCATTCCACACTCGATCTAACAGCTTCCCGTCAAGGCCACACCCGATCGTTGAAGAAGTTTATGAACTTTTGTGCAGATTGAGGTCTTCTGAATCCACCTCCACATCTTCTTCATCAATCAGCCACAAGCTAAGTAACCTCAAAGACTTGCATGATTGTGTTGAGAAGTTGCTTCAGTTGCCCCTCACCCAACAATCATTAGCCCAAGAGCAGAATGAGAGATGGACTAATGAGTTATTAGATGGCTCTATCAGACTCTTGGATGTTTGTGCCACTGTCAAGGATACCCTGTCGCAAAGCAAGGAATGCGTGCAAGATCTTCAATCCATCATCAGAAGGCGGGGAGGTGAATCTGCACTCACAAGTGAGGTCACAAAATACTTAACCTCCAGGAAGCTGGTGAAGAAAGCAATCCACAAGGCTATGGTAAATCTGAAGGGGATGAAAAATAGATCAGCATTCTCTTCCCCCAACAAGGACGAGGAGACAATTTCCATCTTTAGCAAGTTGAGAGACGTTGAAGCAGTCACTCGCGAAGTATTTGAATCGCTAATGTCATTCATCTCAGGGCCAAAATCACGGTCATTGGTCTCAAAGATGATGCAGTCAAAAAGAGCGGCTTGTGAGACAGAAACAGAAGTGAATGAATTTTCACAGGTGGATGCTGCACTACACAAAAGTGCCGATAACGCGCAAAACCAGCTTGAGAAGCTAGAGTCGTGCATTCAAGATCAGGAAGAAGGGCTTGAGTGCCTATTTAGACAGTTGATCAAAACAAGAGTCTCCCTCCTCAACATCCTGAACCACTAGATTTAGATCCTAAATTCTGTACATGAAATGTATACTTATATACATTACATCATTTGATATGAAATTGACGGTCTATTGATTAAATATCTACCTTCTCGCTATTTAAGAAACTATTGCAGAACAACAATCATTGATGATAATTTTATGGGATTTTCAGAATTGCACTAATCAAATCCAATAGAATTTAACAATGATTAGTAATTTTCTCTGTTTATCCATGAGTGGAAATTTGACCACAGTATCATCAAGCGGTAACAAAAATAAAAAATTAAAAGAAAAAACATCTAAGAAAGAGAGCTGGACACGGCATGTGATTTTGAGCAGCAAGCAGAGTAAATATCATATTTCACAGCTGTCAAGATTCTTGTTGTCCAAAAAGAATTATCATATTCGTTCACCAAATTTTTATTGATAAAAAAAAAAACAAAAAAACAAAACAAAAGTTTCCCTCCTCAACAACATCCTACATCGCTAGAATTAGGTTTTAAATTTTTTTACGTGAACAGTATTAAACAACTTAACTAGCACAATTTGAAGATTGAATGTAAGGTCACATTAGTCATTAAAATAAACGATCTGGACGCGCCACAAGTGATTTGATCACCAAGTTGGGATCCCAAATATATACTTATAGGCTTTGTACATTTATTTGCATTTCGTTACGTCTCCACAATTATAATGGCAAGAATGTACGTCCATTTGCCATTAAAATACCGTACAGCAAGAATGTTAACATCAGTTTGAAAAACTTAATTGTACTTGAAGTTGAACAAATTAAATTGTAGCCTATGTATCATGTCCTAAGTCATTATAATAATATAATGTGGAGATATAGTGATCTAACTGCAAAGACTCGGAATCCGATTTATGTTGTCTAGAGAAAAATGATCCCTACAGCTCCTCAAATACAAAATTGAAAGATTTATACACTAAATAGTCACAACAAACACGTTTAAGTAACAATAATAGTTATGGCTACCTTAGAACATTTTTAATGGGCTCTTTAAATAAGCTACTTAGCTAAAATTTAGGGAGGAGATGAAAAAACCAAACTGATGCTCGTTTTCTGTTGAGAGTTGATGATGTGTGGACAATTTATCCCATATCACTAAAGGATTGACTTAGCTATGGGCTTATATATACTGTCTTGGACTATTTCTTATAAAGGTAATTGGTTTTATGGTGAAATTTAATTTCATCTATTACGAGTAAATCTCACATTGATGAGAGAATGGACCTTAAATGTGCTTATAAGTAATTAGACTACTCTCCATATTGTCAATTGGTTTTTTGTTGGGAACCTCAACTTTCTTCATTGTATCAGAGTAGGTTGTCCCGCGTGTGAAACCCAATGGCCATACGTGCTCCACGTTACCCCGTTGTGTTGTCCACATGTTAAGTTTGAAAGTTCACCAGCATGTTGAGAGTGAATCACACATTGATGAAATGAGGGACTTTGCATGTGCTTATAAGTAGTTGGGTTACTATCCATATAGTCAATTGGTTTTATGGTAGAACTTTAACTTTCTTCATAATCATGGTATCATAGTAGGTTGTCCCTCTTGCAAAAGCCCAAAGGGCCACACGTGCGTCACCCAGTTGTTGTCCACATGTAGGCTTGAAAATCGGCTACACATGAGGGGATGTGTTGAGAGTTGATGGTGTGTGGACATTTGTCCCACATCGGTGAGGAATTGACTTGGCTAAGGGCTTATATGGTCTTAGGCTATTCCTCATATTGTCAATTGATTTTATAGTGGAGGATCCCCAATTTCTTCATTATCTAACTTTAAAATTATGGATATTCTTCTTCACTTATGAGTGAAAGGTTGAGGAAGTTGAGATTCCACCATAAAACTAATTGGCAATATAGAAAATAGCACAATTTTTTTAAAGTTCTTGCAAGATCACATATTCAATTCACATGAATGACACTTCGATACCTAATTATTATTACTGGTTCACTATAGGGGTGGGTTCAAAAAACCGAAAATCGAAAAAAACCGAAAACCAAACCGAACCGAAACTGAAAAAACAGAACCGAACGAAAAAATCGAACCGAATTGAAAAAACCGAACCGAACCGAATTCTTTTGGTTCGGTTCGGTTTTAGTGATCTAGAAACCGAACCGAATTAATTAAATTAATTTTTTTATTTAATTATTTGTTTTGGGTATTATTTTCTAAACCCAATTTGTAAGTTAAAATGTGCTAAACCCAATGTGTTGCCAAACTTTAAGCTCAAAATATTAAAAAAAGGCCTATAAAAACTCTAAACCCTAACCTATTATTTCTCCCCCATATAAAGTTCTGGAACTAAACCTCCTCCTGAAGTACCTATATCCATCTCCATAGCACTATCTACTTTTGCCCCAACTTTCTTTTCCAAATCTACTCTCATATAACATGTAACATAATCCCTAAACATTTATTTCGGGTAGATTACTTGGGTAATTTGTGATGGAAAAGAATTCCAACACACACTAAATAAATCCAGCCACGCATTACTTTTACTAATCAAGTTGTCAACATGCAATTACAAGCAAACAACCTTGATCTTTGAACAACATCATACAATTTAACTTTTCTAAGTCATTTGTACGATTTTTGTGTTGTGAGGTTGTTAGTTTGGACTTTGGAAAACTTGATTGATGATTTTAGTTCAACTTTAAATGTTTATTTTCATTGTCTTTGATTCTAGTTAGAATGCTTATGTTATGATATTGTTGGATATGTTAAAATTTAAAATTTCAATGTTTTTCATTTTTTGAAAGAAAAAAAAACAAAAAACCGAAACTGAACCGGAAAAAACCGAACCGAAAAAAAACCGAACCGAAAAAAACCGAAAAAAAAATGAACCGAACCGAAATTTCGATTTGGTTTCGGTTTTGGCAAAAAACCGAACCGATTTAAACCGAACCCACCCCTAGTTCACTATGTGACTTAAATAAACCAAATCCCTCATCCCATTATCGTTATTGCATATAACAGGAGAAAAAAATAAGAATAATAGGTATTGCTTTTTCTTGTGTGAGGAAAAGGTGCAACTTGAATATAAATACCGTGGAGCGTCATCCTAAGGTTCAGATGCTTAGTGATTTAAAATGAGTTGATAGACAAAAGATGGGGAGACATAACATGGACATCGCCTAACTAATCTGGCAATAGCCATTTCCCTACATTATAGAAACACAATGCAACGTAAAAAATTAATATAGATTGCAGATCTTGCCTGTTCCGTGTGCAGCAATCATATCAGGGACCTCCAAAATAAGATGAACTACTAATCACATACATTGATCATCATAAATTATTTTTTATTTAAATTAAGCATATAAGAAGGATGGCTAGCTAGAACTTTCCATGTGTTAGATGTTAATTAATGAATGCTTAATTACATTATAATATTGATACTCTAAGATTATACATGCTAAATAAATCACTTCATGAGTTGGAATGCTGGAGTAGGAAGAGACAATTCATGGGCATTTCCTAGCGAAACATATAGATCCAATCTAGATCATGTTACCCTTTTGGCTGGTGATTGTAGTGGATGAGATTCCATGTCCCCTTCTTCAACCAACACTATATATTAAGCATATGCACAGGCAAGGAAACTCATCCATCACAATTTTACATTAACTACAAGGTATTCTCTTCTATTTTCTCTCAATTTCTCAAATCACACAGAAGAAATGGCTTTCCACACTCGCTCTAACAGCTTCCCCTCAAGGCCACACCCGATCGCTCAACAAGTTGGTGAACTTTTGTGCAGATTGAGGTCTTCTGAGGCCACCTCTACATCTTCATCATCCATCAGCCACAAGCTAAATGGTTTACAAGATTTGCAAGATTGTGTTGATAGGTTGCTTCAGTTGCCCCTCAATCAACAAGCCTTAGCCCAAGAGCAAAATGAGAAATACACTAATGAGCTATTAGATGGCTCTATCAGACTGTTGGATGTTTGTGCCATTGCCAAGGATGCCGTCTTGCAAACCAAGGAATGCATATTGGATCTTCAATCAATCATACGAAGAACACGAGGAGGTGAATCTGGAACTCTCACAAGTGAGGTTAACAAATACTTAAGCTCCAGGAAGATTTTGAATAGGGCAATTCAAAAGGCTTTGAAGAATCTAAAGGGCATTAAAAACCGATCCACCTTATCTTCCCTCAACAAGGACCAAGAGACTATTGACATTGTTATTAAGTTGAGAGATGTCGAAACAGTCACCATCATGGTGCTTGAATCAGTACTGTCCTTCATCTCCGGGCCAAAGTCAAAGCCAAGCAGCTGGTCATTGGTCTCCAAGATGATGCACTTGAAAAAAGTAGCTTGTAACGAAGAAACAGAAGTAAATGAATTTGCAGAAGTGGATGCTACACTCAAGACAAGCAAATTTCATCCCCAAAACCAGCTTGAAAATCTGGAGTCATGCATTCAAGATCACGAAGAACGACTTGAAGGCCTATTTAGGCAGTTGATCAAAACCAGAGTCTCATTCCTCAACATCCTTAACCACAAGAATTAGATATTAAATTTTGCACATGAAAAGTATACATGTAGATATACATCATCTGATATCAAATTGATACAGTTTATTGAGTAAATTTTTACCTTCTCCTACTTAAATTGCAGAGCAGTGATATTCTTTGATAATAATTTTGGGGGCTTTCTGGATAGCACTAATTAAACTCAATTGAATTTACTAAGTTAATAGTAAGTAATAATTTGCTCTGTTGCAAAAATAATATTAGGGCACACTAGTCATCAATGTAGTTACAAATATTAAAAAAGGTAATGCTACGGAGACCAAATTTTGTAAACTAAATTATGTGGTTGTTGATGATTAGATTATTACTTAAGTGTTGGGTTGATTAATGTGTTTATTTCTTATTGGTGACACATTATTTGGTTTGCAAATTTGGTTTAAAAATTTGTTCTGTCTAGTTGTACCCTATTAAAAATAATCATCTTAAGAAAGAGAGCTAGAAACCTGCAACAAAATGTGAAAATATGTTTATTATGTCGTCATTATATCATCGTTGTTTTCTCGTTATGTCATTATATCATCGTTGCTTAAGTGTTGACTAATGTGCTTATTTCTTATTAGTGACACATTATTTGGTTTGCAAATTTGGTTTAAAAAATTGGTTTGCCTAACATTACTCTATTAAAAATAATCATCTCAAGAAAGAGAGTTGGAAACCTGCAACAAAATATGAAAATATGTTTATTATTTCGTCATTATATCATCATTATTTTCTCGTTATGTCAATGTTGTGTCGTCAGTAAAAAAACATAAAAGAGAGATTTAACTTACCTCTCTAAAAATAAGAATAAAAATTAAGTAATGGATAATCTCTTCTTTCTGCGTCCAAAACTATTCAAAAGGGGTCATTTTTGTAGCTATTATCACTTAAGTGTAATCGTGAGAGTACATAGTATGGGTGTCATTATTGCTCATTTCCCAAAGAAAAACAGAAAAGCTTAAAGTGGAATAAAATAAAATTTATTTATTGCCTTATGTGCCGGCCCATTTGTCCATGAAACCTCTCCTACCTACCATTAGGGTCCATTACATTATGTGTGTAGATACTAGAAAACATACTGGATCAATAAAAAAAAAAAAGATACATACCATATCTCCCTCCCTCAAAAGAAAAAAAAAAGAAAAAAAAAACAAGAATGGAAAAAGAAAAATCGAGAAGCTGTTCCTTAACTAGAACGGCATACACTTGATCACTTACAGGATGAGGGATGACCAGACGTCCTAAAATGTGAACAAAATTTATCTACAAGAATGTTTGGATCCGAATTTTATATGTATTGCCGCATTTAGGTTTAGATGACCAATTAAAGACTAAATGAGGGCTAATGGCTTTTCGTCTAGGTTAACAAAGCCCAAACTTTATTTTATCCTAACACATGGAAGCAATTAGAAGTTGAGAATGTTCGCCAAAGGGGTCAAGTTTTGAAGCCAAGGGCTACTCATTTGGGTCCAAACTGTGTCTTGGGTCCAGTCCATGCTAAATTTAGGCACTTGGAGTTCTGGTAAATTGTATATGGGATGAGGAGACCCTTTAATCTCCATTGCATTCTCACCCTTTTGCTCTTGCGCTACCACTAGAGTTGCATCTTCCACTTCTTGCTTGAATACTACATGCTTTGTGGGAATTTGTGGAGTCAGAGCTTCCTGTATTGCTTGGCTGCCAAGTGAGAATGTCTCCATGGATGTTGGAGATGATGAGTTAGGGGAAGCATGAAAGTCCTTTATCTGATTTTCCTCCATTGCTGCCCTTTGCTCTAGCACTTTCAAGGAAGTTGCCTTTCTATATATCTTGCAGAGTACAATATCCTGAGTTTATAAATAGAAAAAGAGAGAGTTTCATTAGATTGCTATCCAAGAATTGACCTATGAAACTACGTAATCAATATTCCTTAAATGTGAAGGTGAAACTATCTATTTAGTTTTGAGCACTGTAAATGATTAGTAATTGAGACTCAGATTATATGAGGTTGCAGGTTTCACTCGGTTAAAAGCGGTCAAATTTCTTAAGTGCACATTGTTGCATCACACTCTTACCACAAGTGTAATTTTTCATAAAACAGTTACTCACAAAATATTCGCTGAGTAAAAAAACACTCAATGATTGAGAAAATAAATATATATAAACTTTTTTGTAGTTTGCATGAAAACTACTCAAGGATTTTTTTTTTTTTTTTTCAAATTTAAGTGGATGGAGATAGAAAGATTAAGAGACTTCTATGCTTGGAGACTCCTTGATAAACACCAATGAACAAGGAATTACAAGACTTAGTTAGAAGACTTTTCTAACTCCCCCTAAAGCATGTTCAAACTTTGGAAAAGATAGCGAGAAAATTAACAGGTATTAGATACTCGATTAAAAAAATTAAGTGGCATTAACAAGTAATTACCTTGAGATACTGGCAGTTATCAGGCAAACGATACTCGTTCATGACCCAATCAGTCTTGCTTCCTCTTGGGGCTCTCCCTTTGTAAAAAACAAGTGTCTTTCTCAACCCTATGATCCTCTTTGGATCCGAGAGGCTCACGATCTTGCGGTCAGAGCCGGTGGCTTTCCAAAACCCAGTTTCAGTGGTTCTGTTAGGCCTTCCTCCACTGCCATGCTTCCTGTCCCTTGGCACAAAAAAATACCACTCCCTTTCTCCGATCTTTGACAACCCTGTATATGATAATTAGCACCCATTAATTAATTACACATCACAACCATGCCCTGAACAATAAAATTCAGACAGTATATATGCATGAGCAAAAATGTTTGTACGTACCAGGTAAGTCCCAAGGGTCATGATGGTAGATATTGAGGAAACCAATTATGTCAAAACGCAACCTCTTGCCAAAAACCATGCTTCTAAGGTAGAATTCAAGAAGTTCTTCTTCTGTTGGATGGAACCGAAATCCCGGAAGTTCGAATTCCGGAGTCATTTCATGATCAGGATTTATGGTGTTGGCTGCCATTGGAGATGCAATTAGTGTAAATTAGAGACTGTAATTCAGAGAATGAATGTTTAGTGCACTGAAGACATACACACTTAAACAGAATATTTATAAGGGATGGGAGGTGCCCCCCATGATTTCGTATGTTGTTGATGGAGAAGCCTTCGGGGTGTGGGACCCACTTGACCAGGTCTCCAATTATCAGTCTTTAGAAATTGGAGTTATGTGGGGAACTCGACCCCACAAACAAAATGGGCCCACGCGGTTTTGGCATAAAGTCATGAGAGAATGGTGACATGGACATGTTAAGTCTTTGCCAATTGCTTGACTTGTATTTTCTATGGGTTTTGGACTTTTACCTGGAAATTCCAGGAATGCATGCAGGTCGATCAGTGATATTTTCCAAGTAATTAAATATCTACCACAAAATGTTAGATTTTTTTTTTTTTTGAAGTAAATGAAATGATGAAGACTAAATAGATGCAAAGGTTCAAAATGTACGGAGTCAGCTAGTCCCATGGTCCATTCAATGCATGGTCCATTCAATGTTTTAGTTTAGACTTTGAGCAAGTCTAATTGCTTGATACTTGGAATCCAATACTAAGTAGGAAAAAATATTATCACCATCTTCTAGCTAATTTTCATATTTCAGCAACACAAGTTGAGCTTCCTCCACCTTTCCTCTCACATGCACAAAGAAAAATGAGGAATAAAAGGCTTATTAGTCCTTTGAGTTGAAACTGACATGCAGTGTTTGCATGCAAAACTGGAAACACAAAATTTAGGACCTCGAAAACTAATGCTAGTATATGTCAAGTGTTGGGAAAATTACAAAAAAAAATTGTAATATTCTTTTAAGAAGCACTTAGACAATTAGGCTGAGATGCGGGTATCTCGCTTTTCTTAAGAAGATTCAAGCCTACTACAGTTTGACAAAAGTTCACGAACTAGTGCAGCAGTATATCTCTTAACTTGTTCCCTTAAGGATATAACAATCCAATTAAATTGTGTTTGACTCAAACTTTTGTGCACAAAAAGATAAGAGTCCAAAGCTCCACCACTAGAACACCCTTCTTTAGCCAATATAAGTAAAAGATACAAAGTATGAAGGAATAAAGATTGTATTTATTAGGAAATTGGTAGTGGGATCATAAATAAAAAGACAATGGGAAAATGCTAATAATTATTGTTTATTATCACCCTTAGTGAACAGGATAATAAACACAATTTAACAAAAAAAAATGATTACAAGAGATACAAAAGATGAAAAACTAAAGACTCCATCTTAATTTTCCACTAACCACAAATAATGACAAATAAACTTACTTTCCCACTAACAAATAATAATAATAATAATAAATTTATTTTATTTAATATTAAAAATGAACCAACATCAAGCATTCATATCATGCAGTGTAGAACAAGAACATCCAAATTATAACAAAATCATAATAGTTCATCATATTTCTAACCACAAAAAAATTACTTATTCACAAGAGTTCATGGGTATACCGAGCTTTCCTTTATAAAATTGTCTTAATTAAGTGTATGATAGTCATCATTTCATTCTTACGTAATAGAGACAATCTTAATTGAGTGTACAAGCCACCTCGTTTGTGAAGTATATATATGAATAAGTTATTTGGTGGAACCAGACTCTTGATATCAATAGGTCTTAACCAGACATGAATTTAGCTAAGTGGACTAGAACAGTTTGCTTTACACTCTGCACTCAAATTTGAATCTCTCATTTCCGTAATTTAGATGAATTTAGTGTAATTATCCTATCATTTGTTTGGAAAATAGAGCTTATATATATAAAAGTAGAATTTACACTTACGAAACCATCTTGTGAAAGAGAAGTGCCCATAATTAAGCTCATTTTGTATGTATTCCAAAACGTGTTTTCTCCAACTTTGCACATTTGTGTCCTAACACGTATGATCCAACCAAAAGAATAGATCCTTCGTAATAGACCTAAAATCAGGACACGTAAAATATTGCTTGGCATGCCGCTTCACAGGATTTTCTTGAATTTTTCATATGCTTTCGAATTACTAAGATAGAGTAAGCTCAAATATTTCTTGTAGACTTGCTGATATACACTCTCCCTGCCTCCCAAGAAATATACCTTTCGATTTTAAAAGGATTATAGTTAAGACTTAATTTTTAAAGTTAGAATATTGGGAATTAACCATAAATTACAAACTTTATTAAAAGATAGAGTCCATAATTTCTGATACAACCTTCACTCTATTTCTAATAAAAATTAGCTCGGAAGTTGGAAGTCCATGGTTAAACTTTGGGATTATTGCTGAAATCTTATACTTTAAATTAAGATAGATGAACAAAAAAAGAAAAAAAGAGGTAGCCAAGGTGGGTTGACTTGAGAAGTCCAGGGGAAAATGATTTAGATGTTAATCATTAACAAAGAAATTCCTCTCTTTTGCGGCCAAGTGTTTCATCAATAGGCACATAGTGGTTGTATTTTATGCAAGATTTTGCGATTAATAATTCTTTAATTACAACTAGTGTGTTTCAATCTTTAATCTCAAAAAGTCTAGACAAAAACAAAACACAAGATTTTCCAAATTCTGTGGTTAATTATTCAAAGCAACTCCGCGTTGATTGCAGCCTTCTTTCGCCAAAATACATAGAGAATGGTTTCTTTAGAATAGAAAGAACGGTAATTAGTATTTCATTTTCATGGCTTCATACTGATGGAAATTTTGACTTGGAAGTCTTCTGAAGACTTCAACAAGTCTTTCTATCTTTCTAATTAAACGATAAGACTTCAATATGTCCTCTCATCATTCTACCCTATTACATGCTGTTGAGTGTTGAGGCCTTGTTTCCTTTTCTGCCTTTAAGTTGAAAGAAAAAAGAAAACTGTTACAAATTTAATTACCTGTTCATTGCCCTTTGATTTTTCTGCTATTTCCTCGAACTTTCTCAAGCTTTGGAGCAGCAATAATTGATGGAAGAATCTGTTATAATGTAAATTAAGATTTAATTTGAGATGTAATTTGTAATGAAATCCAACCATGTATCCATATATCAAATAAAATCCAAATTCTGGAGCATCATGTCTCAAGTGACGGAATATAACAGATGTGTGTAATTGATGAGTGTGTGAACTTCACACGTAAAGATTAAAACCTTGTCTGATAGTATAACCGATTTTTCACTTCTGCACTTACATTATTACTAATCAGTTTTAATTGGATGTTCACATTTTAATACACGATTAGATATGCCTGGAAAATGGGTTGCGTTTGTGTCATTTTCGTGTAATATTTGTTATCTTAACTAATCGTATTGTATCAAACTTGTCAAATAAAATATATTTAATTTGCACCAGGCCTTGGAAAAGTGAAGGTTGCAGGAGAAGAATTCAGTTCTAGGTTCAAAAGTCTTGATTATTAGTTCACCAAAAAAAAAAAGTCTTGACTATTATTGATCAGTGTCTTCCACTCTATTTAATTACAAGGATGGGCTCCTATTTACAACATATGAATGAACGTGAAATAAAAGGATTAAATAGACCTAACATTTTCGTGTCATGTTTTACACCAACTTACTCATGACGAAGCCAGAAGAGTAATTATCAAAAGAATTCCAGCCTTCCCTTTATTCCAATTGGCCTTCTCGTTCTCATATTTGTGTTGTTTTCATGTCATATTCGATATCTTAATAGGCCATGTCGTGTAACACCTGTTAAAATGAACGAGTACATTATTAGGAATAACTTCTTGGGTGACGAAGGGAAAATTGTTGCACAAAGAAAAAAACCATCGCCGGAAACATTGGGCTGCGAAGACTCCGTCTCGCAAAGCTCGTGACGTCAGGCATTGTGCGATGGAGGAAAAGTCTTCGTCGAGCAAAATGAAGATTGCGCGACGGAAGTTGTGGTCGTTGCACGTACCAAGCAACGAAACTGGGTTTCGAACCCCAAACTCTTGCGCGACGGTCACATGGGTTCAACGCACAAAGTCTTGCACCACGAACATTCAAGTTCGACCCACAAACTCTTGCGCGACGAACATGTAGGTTCGACCCACAAACTCTTACGTGACAGATATAGAGGTCATCACAGTAAGATTTTAAAATCATTTTTTAAATAATTTATTATTTATTTATAAATTAGTTTTATAAATATTTTTTTTTCGCTTATGTAAAAATGAATTTAATGAAAATAAAAATAGAAAATGTAAAGAAGAATATTGAATTGAAAATTTATTGTAAATGTACATAAAATGGAAAAAAAGTATTTTTAAATTCGAAAACAATTTAAAACAAAACTAAAAAAAGAAGTCCGCGACAGAATAATCGCCGGCTGGTGGTGTTGTTACTGTGTTGGGGGGCTGGGAGGTCGTAGCTACTGTGACGGGGGGTTGGAAGGATATAGCTGCTACAACAGGAGGCTGGGAGGTCGTTTCTGGAGGTAGTTCAACGTTGAGGAATTGAATGCCAGAGAACTGAAATGCACGATGTATTTGGTGCATCAAATTGTTTTGGGCCGCAATCTGAGACTGATGGGCCATAATTTGCTCCTTCAAGCTTGCCACTTCAGATGTCAGCGTTTCAACCTATTCAGTTCTCTACCTGGAGGATGAGGCAGATGGGTCTTGAAGGCGGGCTTTCCCAAGCCCCCAGTGAACATTCCCATGCCAACGATCGAGGGTTTGATCAAGTGTGTCGGTCATGATCTAAAACCCAGCATCCTCAGGGGGAAACACTTCTTCAATCGGGGTCTTTAGGGGAAGTTGGGAAGCCACCTCTTCCAAAATTGTCTAGCCCTTCTCCACCATGGTGGACTAGAAAAATGAAAAAAATAAATGAATTTGAATATACATGTAATTAATATTAATACAAATTGAATATTATAAATTTGAAAGAACTTACATGAAGCTGCTCCGTCAACTCATCCCCGGGCCGAACGTACACCTCCTTGAACATGTCAATTTCAGGGAACTTTGACCCTCATGAAAAACAAAAATTAAAAAGTGTTAACATAGATTACCAATTGTGTAATAAAGAGTAAAAGATTGAAAATAAATATACAATTACCTTACGTCGCTCCTCCAAC